ATATATGTATTATAATTCTTGGGAAAAAGATTACCTTTTTATTTCGTACTCGCAAGATTTGTTTATCGGTTATGACAAATTCATTATTTTGACTATTTGTTAGACCATAAACTTCTTGCTACTTAATACAACAATAGAAGTGAATGCATCAAACACAAATGGGGAAACATCTATGGATATATTGGCTCAAGGTCCAAAAAATGTGAAAGATCGACAAATCATACGATCCCTAACACGAGCAGACGCTGTTGAGCCAAAAACAGAAGGTTTGATAGAAAAAATTCCTCAAAAATGGATAAGCAAAATGAGTTCAGATTATAAGAAACTGTTCCCGCCTATTAGCCAAAAGAATAGAGAAGACTGGTTGGACAAGAAGGGAAACGTTTTGATGGTTGTGGCATCATTCATAGCAACCATGGCTTTTCAAGTAGGTACTAATCCTCCGAGTGGTGTTTGGCAAGAAGACAAGCTTGACGCAATTCCACCCGAATACGCTGGGTATGCTGTCATGGCAAACAATCATCCAGTTTTACACCATATCTTTCTGATTAGCAACACGGTGGGCTTTGTTTCGACTCTTAGCATCATCTTGTTGCTTATTAGTGGATTGCCTTTCTTGAAGCATCGTGGTTACACATGGATTATGATGGTTATCATGTGGATTGCTACCACGTCCATGTCAATCACTTATTATGTTTCCATAACGGTTACAACACCAGTACATAAGGCTGAGACAATTAGACCTCTGTCAATTATCATTGTGTTCGTGTGGATAGGGTTGATGACTCTTGTGGTTGGGGGACACATCCTTCGGCTGATGGCAATTACAAAAGAAGATCAGAAAGCTTAGCAACTGTTAAGTCTAATCGTCATAAACGATGTTCAAATTTATCTATGGTATAAAATATTTAGCCGTTCATGTCTTAAATTTGTGTGTATTTCCTCACAAGAGGAAAAAACCTTTGTTATTGATGGTTATTTCAGCATGCAGTGATTAAATAAGAACAAACTGAATTCTGTCATTTCTTTATTTAAACCTCTATACTTCTAGAGTGCATTTTATATTGTGTGGTAGGGTTAGGGTTGCCTGTTGTTGCGTTGTCTTTTTGTTTTTATAATTTGTGGAGTTGTCATTTCGGAAAGGAAAATAATTTCATCTATCATTGATCTTCATCATCTCTCTTTTCTTTTTCCATCTTCTACCGTTCATCACTATTACCACCATCATTGCAGCTGCTGCGATCTGTACCACTACCACGGTCGCCTTTGCCCCTTTCGACCACCCCATCTGCCATCGTTAACCACCATTATCTGGCTCATCTTTATTGTTCCCACCCTCCCTCATACACGCCACAACCCTCTCAAAACCTCAACTCTCACACCATTGAAGATCCACTAAACTAGAGAGAGAGAGAGAGAGAGAGAGAGAACTTGTTTTGATTCTATCTATATATCTTGGTACAATTCCACTCAAAACTATTTGTTGCACAAATAATGAAATATAGTACATGCATAACGAAATATGAAGATAGTCTTGGTTTATACGTCAATAAGTTGCTCATAGAGAAAACATAGTGAACCACGAAGAATCTGCATAAGACCATGTCCCCAATGAAATATGAAGATCTCTCTCTCTCTCTCTCACTCTCTTGTTTGTTGATGAAGAACTGAATTGGTTTCTAAATATGTTGCAACAACATTATTGTTAGAAATAATTATAAGCTAAGACTTGAGTAATATTAATGACACTTAAATAACCGTTGATTTTGAAGAGTCATAACGGTTCAACGTGTGTCTATAATATATATATATAGAGGAGTGATCATATGAAAACCGTCTTCATTTGTGTAAACCGTGCAAACCACATTCCTCTGTCGATTTCATTGTTTAATCTTATGAAATTTTTTCATGAAATTGTTTAATCTTGTGAAATTGTTTCATATAATNAAATTGTTTCATATAATACTTTTTTTGATGAAGTTGTTTCATATATGGTTGTGAAATTGTTTCATATAATACTTAATGAAACTGTTTCATGTATGTCTCTAACATTAATGAAACTGTTTAATGTATTTCTCTAAAATTAAAATAATGAAGATGATAATATCTATGATTAACACCCTCCATAATAAAAATGATTAATCAACCTCTCATAATTACAAAAAAATGAACAAAATGAAAAATTATGATTGGTTGAATACGGTTTGTACAAATTGAGTGGTTTGCATTTGATCGCTCCCCTATATATATATATATATATATATATATAGGTTAGTTATTATACAACCTATGACATATATATATATATATATATATACCGTCCATTTTATTTGATTAATATGTGATTTTATAGAAGTTTTGATTAGATAATTAATTAACCATATCCATCTTCCATAAATATTCAAATCATAATAAATGAACTCTTAACATTTCCATAAATACCTCAATTTATTGGGTTGCATTGGTTGTAGAAATGCAACAGGTTGTATTTGAAACAAACTCTCTCTCTCTCTCTCTCTCTCTATATATATATATATATATATATATATATATGGGTCCATTCAAGGGAGAACTGACTAATTTGTGGTAACCATGAGATCCAATCTCAACCACAAATTAATAGATAAATTAAAAAATTTATAATTTTGGTAATTTTGAATTAAAATTTTAATGTAAGGACATTTTAGGTATTTTCTCTCCTTTCAATTAAAAAAAACTATTAAAACGAACCGGAAAGCAAATAACAAAGAGAGAAATTAGTGATAAACACATACTCAAGCTAAACGACTAAGAATTAAATTACTCTAATCTAGACTACATGAGCTAACTTAAAAGCTCCTAATTTTAATGTTGATTTTGGACTCATTGAGATGATAATATATTTCAAATTCACATTAACTCACTTTCGGTAAGAAAAAGCTTTTCAAACGAACATCAATTATTTTGATGATAAGTATTTTGAAAAGGAGGATGATCAGTAGAACCAATAGTTTTCTAATTCAATATTAGCTATTTTCATGGTGTAGACACATTAATGATTCTTCAATATTACATGAAAATAACACTAATGGTTGTTATTAACCAACTTGATTAATGAATGTCTGACGAACACCATTTAGTAAAATACTAAAGGGATGTTCGATTCATTTTCCAGTAACATACGTATAGATAAAGTTGTTTGTATTTGGTATTAATAAAGATATCTGTATGATATAAGATAAAATGTTGCTTGTTTGTTATGTTGAATCATGCATGTCATGAATGACCATTTTACCCCTCGGTTTATATTTTTTGTGAATAAAAAACCTTTTAGAATTGGTCATCTTTTTGCTCATCTTAATTCTCGGTTTACCTTTAAACAGTTGAATTAAATCACTAACAACAACAACACCACCAAACCCATTACTATCGAGAAATCGTTCTTTTTGTTCCTCTTTTTCCCAATTGATTTTACTATTTAGAAGAGTAGAAACACCAAAACAATTAATGAAATTACTAAAACAAATGAAATTACTAACCAAAATACAAAAAATCAAGCAGCAAACACCATGAATTAAATTACTAATAGCAGCAACAACGCCAAGTGCGTTACTAGCAAGAAATGGAGAGGGTGAGAGAAGCAAGGAACGAGATGAAAAGATCGACTTCAAGAAGGACCATATCGATTTCAAAGACCAACTGATCGCAGATGACCAAAGTGATTTTAGAGAAAGAGCATATCGATTTTAGGGTGGAGCAAATCGATTCCAGTGGTGATGAGGGTCGATTTGAGAAGGTGTTTAGGGATGGATGGATCGATCGAGGGACGATTTGAGAGGGTATTAAGGGGTCGATTGATTTTAGAGAAAGATCAGGTCGATTACATCGTTTTATCTCCACGTATATACTTGAAGTTTTGGAATGGAAACAGATCTACAACATATCAAGAGCAGAAGGAGAGAGACGATGACATTGAGGGCAATGGGAGATAGACGATGACGATGAGGGTAGTAGGAGAGAGATGATGATGGTGAGGGCAGTAGGAGGAGGATAGAGCAACATATCTATGGAGGTAGGGAAGCATGATGGATGAATGGATTCAAGGAGAAGGGAAACGTGTTTTAGATGGGTAGTGAGATAAAAGGGTGGGCTGACTATATATGACTCTACTTTATGGGTTGAGCGAATAAGCCCTTTGCTGGACCATTAAGCCATTTTCGAACACGTATATATAGCTTGTCGAATAAGCCATACATGTTATATAGCTCATTAAGCTGCAACCGAAGAGGCCCTAACTCTCATTATTGATGGTTCTAAACAATGATTTTTATAAAGAACCAAGATTTTCAATGGCTTGAGGTGTAGTGTGGCGGCTAGGTTAAGCCTCAAGCCTTACACGCCACGATGGGGATGAGACGTTTTTCAAAGCGTGATATAAGACGGTAAATTTGTGTGTCATATATACATCTATATATACATATATGTTTTCTGTATATTATTCAAAGAGATTAGAAGAAGAAAAAAATTCATATATATTAGTATTATATAAATAGTATTTGATTAAAATTTTAAAACAGAATTGAAAAAGATAACTTTACAACTTCGTTTTAATCATGAGTCCATGACGTGTGTGAATTCGTGAAACTATGAGTGATATGATTAGGTAAATAGATAGCGCAAGGCATCATGACATGAGCCACGCATTACAGAACCGCTATACCTTAATTACTAGTTCTAAAGATTACTTATATGATCCACTGTTAACAATTAAAATTACTAGTTCTATTAAACAATCATTCCTTAAACAATATGGAAATTCAACATTAAACCATAAGCGAGAAATGGAGGGTAGCATGGGAAAAATGGGATCCGAAGGGTTTGGGGGATTGATTGTTAGTGCAACGAATCAGACTTCTTTAACCATTCTCAGACCTGCTAATTTTTTTTCTATCAAACAAGATCATCTCTGACTGAATCAGTCAATTAGACTATACCCTTTACCAAACACATCCTAAGGTGGCGTTTGTTTTCTAAGAGCTATTGAAGTCTGAAATCTTATTATACTTCTGATTGATAATAGGTGGTGCAGAATTCTAAAATCTTAATCAATAAGACTGTTTTTTTAAACTGACAAAAGTTTAAATATGTATGATTTTCTATTTTATCTCTCAAAATGTTATACTGTTGAATTTATAAAAACATCAGTTCATTTAAAATAAATTATAACGTCATCCACTTTTAAACACATTCAAAAATTCAACCTAAAAAAGTTAATTGATTCAAACACAATAGAAGTTATAAACAAAGCCACATAACAACTAAAATCAATCTTCATTATGGATTAATTGTGTCATAATTTCTTCTCTTAAACTAGTCATATATGTTTTATCAACGGTACTCTCATGCGATTTCTTCAGACTCATCCTTGCCACCCTTGCCATCGTCCCTTTGCTCAATGGTTTGATCATATTCATAAAATAACTCATCACTTAAGCCTTTCTTTCGTATGAAGTTGTGAATCACAAAACATGCAATAATTAAAGTGAAAACGGTGTCATTTTCTTAAGTATTGAAAAACGTATTTTTAGGACACCATAAGCATGTTTAATAACATTTCTAAGGTTTGCAATGATTAAACTTTTCATACTTGTTCATTGCACTTCGACAACGGAAATATCCAAGCCAATATCTAATATTACRATACGGTGCCATAAATCCTCGAGTATTCATATACGCAACATCACATAGATAATTTTATCTGAAAAATAATAAATAAAATAGTTATTAATATGAATATAGTAAATATATTACCTCTTCTATGCAACTCTCTAGAAAACATTTGATTCCTTCATTTGTCTACGTTACATGTTGTATATTCTCGTCCATCGCTAATTAGCACACAAGAAACAATCAACTTTGATAGAATAGAACATTGTATAAGTTGATCGGTTTATATAGAAACATATTCTCTTTTCTCTCATACATTTTGTCATATACAACACAGGTTTACATAGCTAAAACTTAACATGATACATTCATAAAG